GTAGGGAGGCAAAAACTAAGTGTGCTATGGAATGGAAAAAGTGCAGAAGACAAAGGACCCAGGAAAATAAAGAGATTAGTCAAAGAGCCAGAAACCAGTATGCACAGATAAGGAGGAAGGCCCAGCGACAGTACGAAAACTATATTGCATCGAAAGTCAAGTCTCACCTGAGGCTGTTATATAGCCACTTCAGGAGGAAGACAACAGTCAAGGGCAAGGTAATCAGGCTGAGGAAGGAACGTGGGAAGCTCACAAGAAGCGACCAAGAAGTATGTGAGGAGCTGAACATGAGATTTAAGGAAGTATTTACAGTGGAGACAGAAAGGACTCCAGGAAGTCAGAACAGGGGGGGCGCACCAACAAGGAATATACCAACAAATGTTGAATTAAATACACACAACCAAGGTGGAGGTGAAGAAGCTGCTAGGTGATCTTGATTCCTCAAAGGTATCACTCTGTCGGTCCTTAGAGAGAGAGCAAAGATGCTGTGTATGCCACTAACAACAATTTTCAACACATACATTGAAACTGGGCAACTACCTGAGGTATGGAAGACTGCAAATGTGGTCCCCATTTTTAAGAAAGGAGACAGACTAAATGCACTACACTTCAGACCAGTGTAACTGACGTGTAGTATGCAAAGTCATAGAGAAGATTATCAGAAGATGGGTGGAGCACCTAGAACGGAACAAGCTGATAAACGACAACCAGCATGGATTCAGGGAAGGAAAATCCTGTGTCACGAACCTACTGAAGTTTTATGACAAGGTAACGGAATACGCTAGAGAGAATGGTGGGTAGATTGCATTTTCTTGGACTTCAAGAAGACTTTCCACACAGCTCTTCACAAAAAAAAAAAAAAAAAAAATAGTGCAAAAACAGGGTGACATATCAGTGAGCCTCAAGCATGGATTCAAGCTATTTTAATCTCCTCCTGTATGTTCTGACCTCTGTATATACCCGCTTGTTTCTGCGTGGTGCATTGATGTAAAAATCGCTTGTTAGGTCAGAACATACAGGAGGAGATTGAAATAACTTAAATCCATGCTTGAGGCTCACTGACGTGCCCGGGCTGGGAAACAAACATGTCTTTTGAACCAGGCTCCCCAGTCTATGTGGCATTTATGTGGACAAGAGGACTAGAGCGCTGCCTCGGAATCTTGAACGTCCCCAGTAGTAGTTTCGAATCCTGCTGACTGCGATCTTTCTTTGTATATACCCGCTTGTTTCTGCGTGGTGTATATGTAGATATATATATATATATATATATATATATATATATATATATATATATATATATATATATATATATATATATAAATTTGAGTACATATGCATGATAATACTGTTTGTCAAAAAAATGGATCCATGGTTATTACACCGTATCACATGATGTGTTCAGCTGAAAGAAGCAAGAAATGTGTCAACTGTCACCAAGAAGAAGTGTCACTTGACCTCCATTAACCTGATATGAAAGGGTGTTACCTGACCTCGTGTGATTTGAACCTGAAAAGTTTAATTTTTATTGTTGTCAACCCCCATTAAAATTATAATGCCATATCTTTTTTTTTTTGTAAATACCGAGCTGCTTATTGACATGGTCGTCAAACCATACCACGGGTGGGGATAGAACCCGCGATCAGAGAGTCATAAAACTCCAGACCGACGCGTTAGCCACTGGGCCAGCTAGCCACAATAAAATTCATCTAACTAGGAGAAATTAGCATAGGCACCACTGTGACCACAAATACAAGTTTTTACAGACGAATCTCCCGCCAGCGTGGCCGTGACTATTATTATTATTATAATCAAAGGGGAAACGCTAAACCCGGAGGATTATACAGCGCCTGGGGGGGGGATGTGGAAGGCATTCAGGCTTAATTTGGGGAACTGGAGCACAGATCCAATTCCCTAAATCAAGAGCCCCTCACCAACATCAAGGCCACCTTGAGGGGTGGCCGTGACTAGCTCCAGCTCAATTCCCCTCAAAGTCGTCATCATGACTCACGAAATCGAATGGTTTGTTTGCAGTCGTTTCGTTACGATTTCGTGAGTCATGGTCGTCAATATGAGTGATGAAATTAAATTGTCCTAGATGTAAATTACAGACTGGAATTTAAGATAAAATTATTTTATTCAATAATATGCATTTTAAAGTAATTAGCAGATATAAAAGCATGTATATAATTGTCGATATTTTTACGTGGAAAAAAAACAGCACTGCTAGTATGCCCTGTCCTTTTTTTTTTTTTTTGCGTTCATACACATGCTGGTTCAATTTGCAACCACTAATTTCAAATTCATATATCTTCTCCGAATATTGCTTGCCAGGAAGCAAATAATCACCTTAGTCAACGTTCTCATTTAGTTAAGCTCTGGCTAATGGCCCGTTAACAAGGAGTCCAAAAGAAGAACATTTCATATACTTGGCCCTTCGAATCCTATATCTCGCATCATTCTCCCCAACAACAGCATAAATAACAACGTTACCAAAATCTTCTCAAGACGTAAATTCAGAGAAGCCACAGACGATGCCACCTCCATCAATCATCAAATCAAGACCAGAACTGCAGTAACTCCCTCCCGGCATGTACTGTGTAATATCCCATGTGGAGGCTGCAAGGAGGTATTTTTGTGCAAATCAAGAAATTGGAACACACGTATTGAAAATCATAAAGAAACATGCAATATCGACAACAAAAACAATGTTCATCGTGAAAAGATGTGAAATTATTAAAAAAAAAAAATCTGAGCTTCGTAAGAGGAACGTAACGTAGTCTAAATAAAACAACCAGACGTTACAGTTATTGAACTACAAATGTCTGTATACAAAGAGATAAACAAATCCAGATGCAAATAATCTTGAGAAAGCCTTTACAGTTTTATTCAGTATTTATGAAATGACAGATTAGGTTACACGTTTAACTAATATTTCTTCATGTAAATCATCATTATTTTTTACGATATTTTGATTTTATGTATAATAATGCATCAGTTTTATGTACAGTGATGCATCAGTGTAAGGATCACTGGTCACTGAAGATTTTCTTCAATGGATCCTATTATGTATATTTTATGCCCACAGAATAGGCTTTCGTATCTATGCCTTATGTCCCTCCCCAGAATAAAGGAAATTAAAACGAATCTATACCACTACTACTGATAATAATAATAATAATAATAATAATAATAATAATAATAATAATAATAATAATAATAATATTATTATTATTATTATTATTATTATTATTATTATTATTATTATTATTATTATTATTATTATTGTATATCTACCCTCTTGCAAACTGGCAACTGGTTCAGACAATTCCGCACAAAAACAAGGACACATGTACTTGTACTCATCTTGCTGCGGCCGGTTTAACATCATACGAGGCAGGACACATCCACACGTAAGGGTACTCCGAGTGGCTAGTGTGTCAGTCTTTCTGAGTGGCTAGTGTATCAAGCTGAGTCGCTAATCATAAGTCACTCAGCTTGATTAGCCGCTATTGTAATAAACTCTCTGACTGGCTAGTGTATTAAGCTCTCTGAGTGGCTAGTAAAGCTCTTTGAGCTTCCAGCAACCCAAACTCAGTGAATAGTCAGTAAGCCAAGGCTTGCGAGTGGCCAGTAACCAAAGCTTTCTGAGTGGCCAGTAACCTAAGTTCTCGGAGTGACCAGTAACCGAAGCATTCTGAAATCAAAGATCACTCTCAGGATGAGAGATATACCTTCATGGTGGGATGAGAAAGATTAACTTTGGTTTTGGGATGAGGGAACAAAAGTCACTTTTGGAATGAGAGCTACAAAATTCGTTGTCTTGGGATGAAAAAGATCAAGAGCTCATTTTCGGAATAAGAGATTACTTTTGGGATGAGAAAGAGACAGTTTACCATTGGGAATGAGAGTTTACTTTTAGGATTATACATAGAGTTAACATTTATTTTGTATGAGAAAGGTAGAGTTTGTTTTTGGGTTGAGATCAGATTCACTTATGGGATAAAACAGATGAAGTTTTCTTTCAGGGAAAGGAAGACAATGTCCTCCGTCAAGACAACAAACACCATAGCCTGAGGAGCCGAGCTCGGAGAAACTCCATGAAGTTACGAGCCTCTTCCTAGGCTGTTCAGGATGAGCAGACATCATGTAAATTTTAGTAAGACATAATACGTCTGTTACTGATGTAGTGACAAGTTGATAAATAAGACAGGTGTAACTCTCGGGTATTTTCAATGCCGAAACGTTTTTCCTCTTTATTCCGCTGAAGACTCCTGCTGTGCAGGCGAAACTTTTCGGCAATACACACTTTGTTTTATTCATCGACATATGACTTCTTCGTAAGTTGTATTTAATTAACTCATAATTACTTTTCGCTATTTATTGCATAAATTTACTTAAGCCGGTAGGAGAATTGGACCTGCCTCGCAATGGGCCAGTAGGCCTGCTGCAGTGTTCCTTCTTTTTTATGTTCTTATGTTTGTCGTGTGGATTCTATTAAAAAATTATTATTAGAACCTGGAAATATCTCTGTCGTAAAATATGGTACTTTAACTCGGAGAAAAATTCCAGACTAGAGGGTTCAGATTTTTTTTTTTTTTATTTATGTTAAGCGCTAAATCCATGGGGATCATTCAGCGCATGACGTGGAGGCTTGATCCTCCGTCTGCTGAGCGCCAGACAGATGCGCTTCCTATTTGTACTCACCTAGTTACTAGAGGGATCAGAGAGATGATGTAAGGTACAGGAAAATTAATAGTTCCAAATTCACTAGCAGTCGAACTCAAACTTTTGGATTAGTCAAGTTTTGTGGAATACTCCAAGTGTTTTGTTTTGTTAAATATCCAAGGTCGTGTGCTGGTGATTCAGTTGGTAACAACTCACTGAGATGTGCGGGTGCTCCACTGTACCGCCGCCACATTGCAAACTGTCACCATCACTACCGACACTGTCTCATACACCACTACCACCACCACCACTGGCAACAATCAGCACCCCCACCAACCACCACCACTGGCAACAATCAGCACCCCCACCAGCCACCACCACTATTAGCAACAATCAGCACCCACACCAACCACCACCACCACTACTAGCAACAATCAGCACCCCCACCAACCACCACCACCACTAGCAACAATCAGCACCCCACCAACCACCACCACCACCACTAGCAACAATCAGCACCCACACCAACCAGCACCACCACTAGCAACAATCAACACCCCCACCAACCACCACCACCACTAGCAACAATCAACACCCCCACCAACCACCACCACCACCACTAGCAACAATCAACACCCCCACCAACCACCACCACCACGAGCAACAATCAACACCCCCACCAACCACCACCACCACTAGCAACAATCAACACCCCCACCAACCAGCACCACCACTAGCAACAATCAGCACCCACACCAACCACCACCATCACTGGCAACAATCAGCACCCACCACAACCACCACCACTAGCAACAATCAGCATCCCACCAACCACTTCCACCACTAGCAACAATCAGCACCCACACCAACCACCACTACCACTAGCATCAATCAGCACCCCACCAGCCACCACCACCACCACTAGCAACAATCAGCACCCCCACCAGCCACTTCCACAACTAGCAACAATCAGCACCCCCTCCACCCACCACCACCACTAGCAACAATCAGCACCCCAACAACCACCACCACCACCACCACTAGCAACAATCAGCACCCACACCAACCACCACCACCACCACCACTAGCAACAATCAGCACCCCCACCAACCACCACCATCACTAGCAACAATCAGCACCCCCACCAACCACCACCACCACTAGCAAGAATCAGCACCCCCACCAACACCACTAGCAACAATCAGCACCCCACCAGCCACCACCACCACCACTAGCAACAATCAGCACCCCCACCAACCACCACCACCACTAGCAACAATCAGCACTCACACCAACCACCACCACCACTAGCAACAATCAGCACCCACACCAACCACCACCACTAGCAACAATCAGCACCCCCACCAACCACTTCCACCATTAGCAACAATCAGCACCCCCACCAACCACCACCACCACTAGCAACAATCAGCACCCCCACCAACCACTTCCACCACTAGCAACAATCAGCACCCCCACCAACCACTTCCACCACTAGCAACAATCAGCACCCACACCAACCACCACCACTGGCAACAAACAGCACCCCCACCAGCCACCACCACTATTAGCAACAATCAGCACCCACACAACCACCACCACCACTACTAGCAACAATCAGCACCCCCACCAACCACCCCCACTAGCAACAATCAGCACCCCCACCAACCACCACCACCACTAGCAACAATCAGCACCCACACCAACCAGCACCACCACTAGCAACAATCAACACCCCCACCAACCACCACCACCACTAGCAACAATCAACACCCCCACCAACCACCACCGCCACTAGCAACAATCAACACCCCCACCAACCACCACCACCACCACTAGCAACAATCAACACCCACACCAACCAGCACCATCACTAGCAACAATTAGCACCCACACCAACCACCACCACCACTGGCAACAATCAGCACCCACACCAACCACCACCACTAGCAACAATCAGCATCCCACCAACCACTTCCACCACTAGCAACAATCATCACCCACACCAACCACCACCACCACTAGCACCAATCAGCACCCCACCAGCCACCACCACCACCACTAGCAACAATCAGCACCCCCACCAACCACTTCCACCACTAGCAACAATCAGCACCCCCACCAACCACTTCCACCACTAGCAACAATCAGCACCCCCACCAACCACCACCACCACTAGCAACAATCAGCACCCCAACAACCACCATCACTATTAGCAACAATCAGCACCCGCACCAACCACCACCGCCACCACTAGCAACACTCAGCACCCCCACCAACCACCACCACCACTAGCAACAATCAGCGCCCACACCAACCACCACCACCACTAGCAAGAATCAGCACCCCCACCAACCACCACCACCACTAGCAAGAATCAGCACCCCACCAGCCACCACCACCACTAGCAACAATCAGCACCCCCACCAACCACCACCACCACTAGCAACAATCAGCACTCACACCAACCACCACCACCACTAGCAACAATCAGCACCCACACCAACCACCACCACCACCACTAGCAACAATCAGCACCCCCACCAACCACCACCACCACTAGCAACAATCAGCACCCACACCAACCACCACCACCACCACTACCAACAATCAGCACCCACACCAACCACCACCACCACCACTAGCAATAATCAGCACCCCCACCAACCACCACCACCACTAGCAACAATCAGCACCCACACCAACCAGCACCACCACCACTAGCAATAATCAGCACTCACACCAACCACCACCACCACTAGCAACAATCAGCACCCCCACCAACCACCACCACCACTAGCAATAATCAGCACCCCCACCAACCACCACCACCACTAGCAACAATCAGCACCCACACCAACCAGCACCACCACTAGCAACAATCAACACCCCCACCACCACCACCACCACCACCACCACCACTAGCAACAATCAGCACCCCCACCAACCAC